TTGAAGAAAACATCAAATTTTAGTCTCACAGGAATGCTTAAGTCTGCGAGTCCACTACAGGAGAAAAAAAAGAAGAAAAGAGGAGAAAAACCCGAATGGAAAGACTGTAGAAATTCGAATAACCGTAGTAATGTTCGCTGAGATTATCCGGGTAACCAAGAAAAAAAAGAAAAAACAAGAGAAAATAGTGAGAAATATGGTCGCCTAACCCTTTAAAATCTTCGTTCTTCGTTCGAGCAACGCTGCCAGTTCATCGCCGCTATCTTGCGAAAAGGACTGCTTCTAAACGAAATTGGTGCAATACGTGAAATAATTTTTAAAAAAAAAGAAAAAGAAAAACAATCACCAGATATGATTTAGTCAAGGAAATAGCAAAGGTCTGGTGTTTTGGTCTATCGACATGGTCTAAAAGTTCTATGACAATAAAAGGATAAAAGGATAAAGTTCTCGGCGTTGATCAATCCCTGAGGGATGCGCCATGCATTTAACCTCATTAAGAATAGCTTGGAGGTGATTGAATGCATATCTGGCCTTGACAATGACTCGCGGTGCCTTACCGTTGTATCGAGTCATTTCTGCTATCTTCCCAGACAAGCCCGCTACGAATCTGCCGACCCCGTAGGGATGAAAGGCTTGGTGGTCAATGGGCGCCTCCAACCACTGCGCCACACGCGCCCTTCGACAGTAACAACTAGATTTCGAAGATTTTTGATGATCACCAAGATTCGTAAGACGCTTTATTGCCTCACATACGGTACTTTGACCTAATTCATTTAATGTAATATTAAGTACTTTATGAAAGCTGGAGCATTTAGAAGAGTTACGATGGTCGAGATGTTAATCGCTGCCTAATTTCACCAATGTCCACTTGAAAAGTGCTGGTCCAACACGACTTTAATTACAACACAGCTACGAAGCTTAGAGCATAATGGTTGGAAATTTTCTGGAATACACATCGCTCGTTAGTTCGGCCCTGAGCCCTGTGCGAACTAAGCCTACCTGCCTCTGCGGTAGCGAATTCTACCGGACTTGTCTAGAAGGATTGCAGCACAGACTTAACATACCGATGGCGCCACCGCAAGACGTCATATACGCAAAACGTGCAAGTAATCATCTCTGCAAATGCTACGAATGGAGTCCAATGCTTAGCGCGACAATGGACAATTAACCAATATAGTGTTCAACTTGCCAACCCTTTAATGTAAAAAAAATGGGTGCGTCAATTCAAATGACTATCTTATTAAACCATAAACAACTATATGCCTATGTGTTCTACTCTGGTCAACTTTATCGAACGCTTCTATTTCCCTCAGTTTAGGGCTTCTAGAAAGTTATGTTTCAAATCTGCTGACTTGGACGATTTCGTTTTCATCGAATAATTCTGGCTTCAGGGAGTGGTTAGCGCAATGGTAGTGGTCCCGTTCATCACGCAGACGGCCTAACCCACACACACGCTCCGACGCTAGTTCGACGATGCTCCAGGCCAAACAAGGCTTTCATCTTTCCCTGCTTGGAATATTAACACCAGACTAGTCTGGGATAAGATGACTTCCCCAAAACCACACGGCAGCGCCCCAACACGGCTATCTCGGGATTCCATTGAGCATCGGCTCGACCACTATTCAACGGCATTCGTGACGAAGACCAAAAAATTCTCAACCAGGAGCCTAAGCTACACACAAGAAAGTTCGAAGACGTTCATGAATGGTAAGTGCAAGGAAACCAATCAGACGAAGAAAGTGCTGGGATTTACGGAGTGTTTTATATGCGTGGCGACCTATGCAATACAATAAATAAATAAAATCTGGTTTCAGAGTAGCGTCAAGCGTAGTGGTTAGAGATTCTGTGCAATACTCGTATGGTGACTGCTCCGACTCCACCACGAATCGATGAAGGCACTTATTCCTTGGCAAATGGATAGCAGGCTATTACTATTTGGAAGAACTTCCCTGATCCACAAAGGCAGGTGATTGACACGGGAACGTTGTGGCAGAGCTATTACATTCCAGATAGAACGAGGTCTAGGAAGATCAAACGATATTGAATAAGGACTAAATTCTCAAATGACAGCCAAATCCAATCGTAATTCCAAAAACTTCCATTGATTATGGGTTCGAGATAATGAACCAAATGAGAAAAGTGTGGGGCTCGCTTCGCACAGAAGGTGGAGATTAGTTACGTAAATGAATAAAGTGAAAAAAACTTGTTGTATTGAAAAGTTCCCACTGAATAGAAGAAATGAATGAACAAACAGATTCAAGTGACTGACTAAAACTCAAGAAATACGAATCATCACTTGCCTGTGTGAAACTCGTTGGTTTGTTCTGACGTACATTGCACAGTTGCTGCTCATCAGTGACCACTGCGCCACTCATCGAGAGCTTCTGTTACGAAAATAGAGATGAATGCCGGATATTTATAACAGAAAGTGCATTTTTTTTCTCGCCACTACGCCTCATAGCAACGAGAACTTTGATGACGTCATCACAGGAAGAACACTCATCTTTTTAGAAGGTTAGGCTTTTTTCCGCCACTTATTACAACACATTAAAAATGGCACAAAATGTGACAAATCATTCGAATGAAAAGAAGACACTAAATAGAATACGTAAGAATTTGCTCAGTTGTGGAAAACCATGAATCACATAGCTTTCGTGAAAAGATTAACCTGAATGTTTTTCCTTCGAAAAATTGCTTTGTGATTAGTTTTCAGCCAGTTCAGAAACGAAATTGCTTAGTTACGAGAAATAAAAAGTGGAATAAGATCGCTAACATCAGTTAGATGACGAACGGTTGCCAGTCTGACGACTGGAAGTCGTTGCGGCCGTAATGCTATAATTTTTCCTTATAACACTCTTTCCGATGTGTGAAAAGCGCTGCGGTTATAGATGTCGCGCAATAAAAAACGTGATATCTGATCCGACTCCACCACGGTCAACCAAGTCCCCGTCCTTTGAATCCGGAAAATCAGTATTAGATTTATACGGTAAAACCTCCCTTCGGTCCATAATGGCGGAAGAGATTCTGAGATAAAAACTAGGGAACTCCCATGAAGGGCTATTCTGAGATCCTAGCGAGAACAACTGAACCGGCACTGGACAAAATTCATGTATAGAAAGCACATGAAGTGGTAGTCAAAACTGCACAAAATTCTGAAAATCTTCTCGGGTGGCGGTTTCAAAATAAATGGTGGAGTATGAAATTACTGAGGCACTCGCAATAGATGAAACGAATTCTGAGGAAAAAAAAGGTAACGAAGTACAAATACTATCACCATAAGTTCCATATGTTAACGCCTCTTCATGACTAATGGATTTTTCTAGACGTTGAACTCCTATTTATAGAGGAGGACCAACTTTATCAGGATCTTTTGAGCTTTCCGCATCCGAGAGCTTACCAGGAGCAGGCAGCTGCATGCAAGAAATCACTGGAATTCGAACGTAAACGGTTCGTTGTGAGGTAATCCGAAGAGAGTAATGGCTACTTCTAATCTTGCCTGGAGTCTGTGTTTTGCAAAGATCTCAGCATTTTAACCACTTTTCATTTACTGCCTACTGTTTTTTCATCGAAGGGTATGATGTGAAATATAACCACAATGATGCGGAGATATTTTGCAAAACCTCAGACTACGGGTGTCTGCAGTGAAGATCGAAAACGCTATTACCCTTTCCGTGGGCTAACGCGTTCACGACCACACCATGTGGATCCCTTTCCACGCCTTTCCCTCAGTCGTGTTTTATCAGTGCTATGGTTCTATCAAAAAAGAATAGGCAATAAATAAAAAGTGATTACACTGTTATTTATACAACATCGTCAGTATAACTGGGTTCAATACTGATTTGTGCCTACCAGATCACTCCCGCTGATGATAGCACCGATGAAACACAGTGAGAGACAGACGAAAACCATGGGCCCGAATGGTGCAATGGTGAACGCATTAGCACCCGGAAAGGATAGTAGTCTATTCGATCGCCACGATGGACACCTGCGGTCCGGAGTTTTGCAAATATCTCATCATCATTGTGGTTATATCTCGGCATTACTGTGATTCTTAGTGGCTCATGAAAGTTATTCTAGACATTCGAAAGTAAATCAGATTGGGATCAGTTAGTACGAACTTTTTAGTGATTTCAGCTCTTAAACTGTTGAGAAAAATCGATTTCCGTCCAACTTCTCCATAGCAAAAGAAACCTCCGAATTGAGTGAAAAATTGCAATGTATGCACTTTTTTGAAAGAGGAAAAAAATTGGTTGTGCCAGCTTTCTTACGACAGTGGATGGAATGATTCAGTCCATTAAATTCTAAAGGGATAACGACGTCCGGTTGGAAATAGGTGTCAAGGATTATGTGTGTGATGAATCACGTGTGGTAAGTCCATCTGAAAGATAACAGAATTGGATACTCGTGGAATCTGAAAACGTCGAAGACACTTTGGAAGTTTCTCCCTAGCTTTTGGGAAAGTCTTCATCAGTCTGTTAAGCAGTGTTTCGAATGTGTAGAAATATAAAAGTCGAGAAAGAGTGATACCGGTTGTGCAGAGTCACTGAAGATCTTGAGCGTTCCAATATGCAAAATTCCAATATGTTCTAGAGTTGTTTTTCTTTTTTTTCAAAATTCAGTAATTCGTCAATTTCTTCTCCTAACGATTTACATAATCAATCGATTTTCTACTTTTCTATACCATCGTGATGTCAAAAGCGCAGTGGTTAGAAATCTTGGGCAATGATACACGCTTGCTTGCTGGTTCGATACCGTTTAACGGTTAACAAAACATTAAACATTACCTCCTGGTTGAGAAAATAGGACAATACTTGTCCGAAGTGAGCTCTCTGCAACATATAATGGTCAGCAGTCACCTCCACTATGAAGATCTGAGAACGCCGTAGTAAAGCTATCCCAAGATCGCAGAAGAATCAACTCGTCCAGCCCTGAGGGAGCACCAGTCAAACTTTTTGAACCATCGTTGTGATCCATTGAAAAACACAGAGGAAGAGTATCACCGCTTTCGAATGAGGTCCGCCAATTCCCAACTCGCCGATATACAGCGTCAAGGTTGAGCGTCTTATAAAGTTCTATCGCGATACAGATGAACTTTTGTTGTTCACCCATAACATTTCTCATTCTTCTTGCAGGGCTTTCACCGAGCCATCCACAGAATACAATTTAACATAATCAGGAGCGTAACAATCAGAATGTTTATGTGTACACCGAAAAATTAAGCCAAAGCGAAACGCCACAGATCGTAAGCTTAAACATTAAATCAACGGGTGTGACTTCAGGGTAATTATATGAATCGATATAGAAGGTTCTTAACTTATATTTAATTTGAGACATAAAACACCAAAACCATGTGCTCAGTGGTGATTAGTGATGCATCATACATTTGACTCTATGCATTGAATCGTGGAGGCCATTAGCTGCATATTTAGCTCATACAAGTCCTACCAGTGTATTAGCATTTTCATTTTCCTAAACAAATCTGGCACCGATTTAACTACCAGACTCATTGGAATGACGGCCTAGTTAGCCCTGAAGCGGTGATGGAACCAACGATCACACGTATGTGGCAGGTCACCTCTGATTATTACGCTAAACGCTCGTACAATGCAGCATCACAAAAAATCAGCTCGAGAGCCCTGACACGAATGTCTGAGAGAGTCTTGTAGACATGGAATCAATAGAATTTCGAAATTGAATCGTGAAAGGCAGGGCAAGGATAACCACCATGTTTTTACCTACCTGATACTTCAACGGCCCGTCATCACTAGTTGCGGGCTCCAGCACAATCACCATTTTTCGCAGATTTGCTGGTTAAGCCATTGTGGTTCCCTGGAATCCCGAGCTCAGCCTGGCCAAAGTCTTCTCCAGGTCCTCACCACGACAGGCAGTCGCAGCACTTGTGGATCAGAGTGAGATTTACCACCATACGACTTTGATACCAGGAAGGTGGTGGATCCTGGTATTCGTTTACTCTTAGCTAGGCTTCCTGATGAAAACGCCGAACTCCTTATCAGGTTGGTAGACCCTTCCATGGGGATGAATGCCCCTGCTGTAGATCGCAGTCCGACATCCAGGAACACATCCCAGCCACGATGAGGCGGTAAACCGTTGGGAGCCACCATGTTTTTAATATTACAGAAAAAGCCTTCAGAGTTTCGTCTCAGCTCAGAAGTACAAATTACTAAACTAGATAACGATGGTGAAGACTGCTACTTTTTTAATGAGTACTTTTGTTTATTCGTGATGACTATTTTTTCAGCGGTTTACAATAAAGTATTAGCTTTTTAAAGATGGTCACTTAAACCGCGAACAAGAAAAGAGCTGCCAAATCATCTAGTACTAACAGAAAAAACTGCTTGCTGAAAGTAAATATAAGTCAGGATGAAGAAAAATGATAAAGAAAAAATTACCTAAATAATCAAGGGGCACTTCATTAAGGTATTCCAGCTAGTCATTAAGAACATATTGAATGGTGATCCAACAAGCGGAAAATCACGAAGAGGAAAGAAGGAACTTCCGAGAATGTCGTCTTAGAAGGAAATCGATGCACATACCGAAAGGTACCTGGTCTTACTAGAGATATTGTAGAAGGTGAGCAAAAGATAGCGCTTTAGAAGAACGATGGTCGAGATTTATGTATTAGAGCGCAAAATAAATACTCGTTTCTAAAATGCTTTACATGGAAGAAATGAGAAACACTTTTGAACAATATGTGCGGACCTCATCTACGCAAGTTGACAAAGCACACTGAAGTGGCGTTGACACGTTGACGGCCGCGTGAAAGACGATGAATGGCGAGGAGATGAGGTGCTCGACTGGAGGCCGCTGGCGACGAGGCGAAAGAAAGTCTCTCATCGATACGTCGCGAAAGCACGATATGTTCCGAAAGAAAAGTCCGATCGCTATAGTAGAATACTAGTGGACGACAGATTCCAAAAAGGATAGATCGCTCGGCTTTGATGAATCATTAGTGAATGCGCTATGCATTCGACTCAACTTGTAGCGTCGTAGACATGAACGAACGCATACTTGGTCTCTACAGTGACTTGAGAGGGTCACCGAAGCGTCAAGGCAGTGAATTTTTCATCCTGTTAGAAGAGTGTAGTGTCAATTTCTTGATCTCAGAGGAGCGGCGAGCTGGGTTTGCCGGAGTGCGGTGTCGAACCAATGACTGGACCTACATAGTTGCCCTACAGGTGGAGAAATCAGGATGAACAGTAGTTATATTCTGTATTTTTAGCCGAAAAACTTCGATGATAGGAAGAACGATCTCCGAATGGATTCACAACCTCAGATCCATGTTGAAATCAATAGTTCATGGAAGATAACATAAGTGTCTTAATCTAGAATTATTGAGCAAATATTTTACTATTGATGGCTTGCACCACCTAACATGAGTTTTTTCCTACATGCTGTAGCGCTTGAAAACTTTTGCTGTGCCTTTCTTTTTAAATTTTTAAATTTTACAGATAATGTTTTCACTAGCTAAACCACATAGGCGCAGTGGTTGGAGACGCAACTGCGACACACACGTGGAATCGATCCCCGTGCCTATGGCCCATCAAGTCTTCCATCCTTGCGGGGTCAGCAAATTGGTAGCAGACTTGTCTGGGAGGATAGCAGCACTGGCTCGATACATCGGTGGGTCACCGCGAGTCATTGTAAAAGCCAGGTATGCATTCAATCAGCTGCAACGATAATTAATGAAGTCGAATGCATAGCGCATTTCTCAGGGATTGGTCAACGCCGAGAGCTTTATCCTTTATCCTTTCAAACCACATAATCCTTATTCAAAAATAATTATAAGTGAAAAACGATTTCCACTTCCTGGAAACTCCTATTCAGACCACAACTCAACAGGATTCTTCTAGAAAACTATAAAACCTCGAAAGTCGGACATGGGAGTTGCTACAAGATGTACCAGCAAGATATTTCCGACTTGCAAAAGAAGCACTGTCACTAAGACAAAAGATCATCTTAGCTCGACAGTCAATACACTTTCTCCGCCGCTGCATAAAACACCAAGTCGTTCCAAAATTCATAAAAAGAAAACGACTACACGAAGTATGCGGACTACCAGAGGATGACCACCGAGTACTGGACATCGAATTGCAAGTACTACGCACCTGTCTACGAAGCAAACAAAACCAGATGTTCGCTAAGTGGAAGAAGTGCGAGAAGAAAGAAAACTATTGTGCTCAGTATTTGGAGGACCGCCTCTGGAGGAGAATAGTGGGTGGGTCAGTGTTGATTTGCAACTCTATTAGGTCTAATGCTAAAGTAGCTTTGAGGAGAAAATTCGAAGACCTTTTGAGTAAATCGCATAACACGGCTTCAAGAGCATACAGAAACACCGCCAACGAAGATCAAACGATTCACAGTAAGATAAATAATGCGCAAAGAAATTCAAGGTTGAGCGTGCTAGGAGGCATAACCCTCTCTGACAGTGCGCGCTCGTTATTAGAATTGGGACCGAGTTTCTCACCATCTGAACCCATTTCCAAGGTAACCTTGCGTAGGGACGCATGTAGTTTACATGAACTTCAAGATAGACTCCGCAAAAAAGCTAGGGATGAAGCGCAAAATAGGCGCGAACAACAAAGAGTAGGGGCGATACCAGTACCACCATTTCCTCAACCGTTCTTTAGACAACAAGAGCCCATTAATAAAGTTGATGTTAAATTTCGGATGTTTACGAATGAAACTTTTAAGGTCCTTAATCACTATCGCGCTAAAAGATACTGCTCCAACTTCACTGAAATACAAAAACGTGGTATGAGAGAGGTACGAAAACTGATAAGATCAAAAAACATAAGACTATCGGTTAGTGATAAGGGTGGAGAGTTCGTTGTAATTCCCCATCAGTTAGATGTTGAGATAACGGAAAAGCACCTTGAAGATGTTTCCCTTTATCGTCCGTCGTCTGAGAAGGAATTTAAAAGTCAATACCGAAACTGCCACGACCGACTTTCTATTAACCTCGGCATTGATCAAGTGATTTTGTTCGTACTTTTGTTGAGCAAACGCGAGGTGTTATTATTCTTTGTTCACGATTAAGCTGACGTTTCGGCGGATTTCGCCTTCCTCAGAGCCTGGAAAGGTCAAGTTGATAGCAATCTACTCTGCCAGACGC